CTGAACCTCTCCCTGGGAGATGAGCACATACAATCAGAAATAAATTACAAGAGCATAGCCTAAATCCCTTTCCTTCTCAGTCAGCTGAATCTGCCTGTCACCATGTCTCCGAAAAGATATATTGTGGAGCGTGCCCTGGTCTAGCTTCCTGAGCCAAGTCAAAGGTCTGGTGTCATCAGAGCCCTGTCCAAGCCACCATCAGCCAATGGCAGCTCTCCCCAGGTCAAATTGCAGTGATGTCTCTGCATACCATATTCATTTTCCAATGATACAATTTGCTAAATGGGAGAAGCACTGGCCAGCACAGACGTGTAGTTATGAAAACAAAAAAAGGTTTCTAGAGTGGATCACGACTGGGAAATTCAGTGTAATTTTCCTCTTTGCCCAACACCCAGGTCACTGAGAACAGGGAGTCACAGTGGACTCTCTGGCAAAGAGTAGGTGTGGGCTTTGAGAATTAACTTTCTCCCCTCACAGAAGTAACAAATACAGTGCATTTTCTTTTCTTTTTTTAATTATGTAAGGGATACAAAAAGTAGCAAATTCAACAAGAATTCCGCATCCAGGACATCTGTTAGTAGCAGGAGCTGAGATCTTTAAAACTTTGAATAATCCATAGGACCCAGGTCCCTTTGAATTTTACTAAAGTTCATAATAGCTGAATTAACACAGTGCTGAAATTCTAAACAGAAGGGGCTTGTCAAGATTGGGGGATGGGGATTAAGCAGTGTATTATGCTCCAGCTGTGTGGGGGCTCAGTCAGTTAAGCATCTGACTTTGGCTCAGGTCATGATCTCACTGTTGGTGAGTTTGAGCCCCGCATCGGGTTCTGTACTGACAGCTCAGAGCCTGGAGAATGCTTCAGTTTCTGTGTGTGTGTGTGTGTGTGTGTGTCTGCCCCTGCCTCACTCACACTTTCACTTTCTCTCAAAAATAAATAAATGTTAAAAAAAAATTTTTAAGTAAAAAAAGAGATGTCTTATGCTCTATTCTGTTTATATATATATATATATATAAACATTTGTTTCAGAATGAAGTATTTACCTGAACTTGCAGGCAGCTAATAGGATTTCTGACCTAAAAAAATCCTATAACATATGCACATATTTTCTTCATCATATAAATGTTCAAATGAACCTTAAATAATTATAATAAATTAAAATTTACTGCTCAGCTAAATATTGCCATAAAGACTGTTATTGAGCTTAGAGTGCTCTTAATGGCGTAAGAACGAGTGATTGGTCTGTGTGTACATGTATTAGTGTATATGGATACATACAAAAGCTGTGCATTTGATAACTGGCTCACAGTTGAATTTTTAGGACACTGTAGGAAGTCTTTGATGGTATATTCACAAGTGATGTATTCATATTTAATTAATGAAAAAAAAACAGCCTAGTGAGCACAAAATAAAATGATGAAATGTGATGGAGTTAATTCAGAGATTAACAGCCAAAATACTTGGCAGAGCTTGGTAACGACAGCATCTAGTACAGCAGTGAGAAATATTCCATTTCAACGCTAGAACACATCCACAAATACATGTGGCATAAAATAACTTCATGATCTGCAGACAGGTTTTTTGGTTAGTCCTTAATCTCCTTAAATGTTTCTGTTGCATATTTCCATAGCGGATGACATTTCATTTTCATTTGTGGTTCTTAAGTCACCAAGATTTCTTTGGTTATTGTTATAATTCACAAAGTGCTTTTTATTTTTCTTCCTCCCAAATGGAAATCAGAAGACCATGGCTTTCTGAACCCGAATTTCCTGGCTCTAGAAAAAAAGCATCTAAGCAGAATAATAATCCAGTTAAATCCATCTTTATAAGATGAATTACTGTAGTCATTACAAAATAAATCCTTTCTTAACATATAGTGTTATATTAGTTTCAAGTATATAGTATCTTGATTCATCAATTCCAAACATTACTCAACTCTCATCATGAAAAGTGTACTCTTTAATCCCCATCACCTGTTTCACCCAACCCCTCACTCACCCCTCCTCTGGTCACCATCTGTTTGTTCTCTATGGTTAAGAGTCTGTTTCTTGGTTTCTCTCTCTCTCTTTTTTCCTTTGCTCATTTGTTTTGTTTCTTAAATTCCACAAAAGTCAAATCATATGGTGTTTGTTTTTCTCTGACTTATTTCACTTGGCATAATACTCTCTAGCTCTATTCATGCTGTTGTAAATGGTAAGATTTCATTCTTTGTTATAGTTAAATGGTATTCCACTATATATGTGCCACATCTTCTTTATTCATTCATCTGCCAATGGATATTTGGGCTGCTTCCATAATTTGGCTATTGTAAATAATGCTGCTATAAACATAAGGATGTATGTACCCCTTTGAGTTAGTGTTTTCACATTTTTGGGTTAAATACCCAATAGTGCAATTACTTGATCATAGCTTTTTAAGGAACCTCCATACTGTTTATTTTAACTTACATCTCAATTTTTTTTTAATGTCATACTTGTCACACATTATGTTCCATCCTTTTTAATGCAAATATATATCAGTATTTTCCTAATATATATGAAATGATTTATGTCTCTCTGCCTATAAATCATAGAATTGTATGCTTTGAATAGCTTAAAAAAATAAAGTAGTGCCTTTTTTAAATTAAAAAATACATAAATAAAGCATGTCCCTCCTCAAGAATTCCTTTACAATTGAATTCTTTTAATCCTCTCTTTGTGAAAGTCAAGTGCTGAGAGACTGAGACTAGACTTATGGAAACTTCCCGGTAATGGCTCTTCAAATAATTGAGAAAGAAACATCTTTTAAGATTTTACATTATAGGAGCACTTGGGTGGCTCAGTCTGTTAAGGGTCTGACTTTGGCTCAAGTCATCATCTCTTGGTTCATGAGTTCCAGCCCCGCGTCTGGCTGTGCTGACAGCTCTCAAAAATAAACAAACATTTTTTAAAAATTAAAAAAAAAAAAAAAAAGATTTTACCTTATGGACATTTTTTAATATTAAGATTTTACTATCAAGTATCCTATCTTTTTACCTGGAGCACTCAACCAAGTTTTAGTTATTATTACAACAGGTTCAAGAACTCATGGAGGATCTGTTATATTTGATCTAGATGACTAACCTGGACACCATGTTACAAGTTCAAGTTTTCATAATATGGCAATCAATGAGTAGGTTCCTAACTCTTTTAAACTATGTAATTGTAAATCTCTAATTTCCTTTCTAAGTTGGACTTTCCATTCATGAAGCACTTGAAGAGTTTGCTTTGAGGGAGACTAAGGCAAGAACACTGTTTCTACCCTGAAATGCAGGCTTCCCAAACAACAGACTTCCATTTCAAAATAAAAGATGATAAGTCCCAAAACTTCAAGAAGTCCAATGGCCGAACAAAGGCCCTCAGAACCCAATATTGGATTTAGGTATTTAATTTTCTAAGAAAGTAACATCTCTTAAGTATTTTGGTGTGGATGATCAAGTGAGGAGGAACAAGTCTTTGGCTCAACAAACTTCCATAAGTACAGTGAATTGTCTTAGATGTACTATTGCCACTAAAAAGGACCACATTTACTGCTCTGTCCCAGGGTGAAATAAAAAGGAATATTTCCCAATACCTTTCTTTCTTCTTTTCCAGAATAAAGTTGCTTGATCCTCACCAACCCTCAATTCACCTGGGAAGCTAATGATTATTTGGACTGAAAAACACACTTAGGAATTGACCTAGACAATTACCCCTAACTTTATTTTTTTTTAATTTTTTAAAAAAAAATTTTTTTTTTTTTTTTTTATTTCTAGGAGAGAGAGACAGCGTGAGCAGGGGAGGGTCAGAGAGAGAGGGAGTCACAGACTGAAACAGGCTCCAGGCTCTGAGCTGGCAGTCAGCACAGAGCCCGACGCGGGGCTCGAACCCACGAACCGCGAGATCATGAGCTAAGTGAAAGTCGGACGCTTAACCGACTAAGCCACCCAGGCGCCCCGACAATTACCCCTAACTTTAAAGTAGGATGTTTAAGTAAATTGCATTTTAAATATGGTCATCACATTTATTGAATTTAAATCTCTAAATTGCATTTAAATTTAAACATCTAAATTTATTTTAAAATTTAGAAATTTAAATGTTTAAATTTAGAGATTTAAATTGTGTTTAAATCAACCTCTAATTTTAAATTTTATTTAAATATTTAAATCTTGGATTTTGAATTTCATTGAGATAGATTTCCAAATTTAAATTTTATTTAAATATTTAAATTTATTCTAAATTTAGGAATTTCACCTAAATTTAGGAATTTCACCTAAATTTAGAAATTTCACCTAAATTTAGAAATTTCACCTAAATTTAGAAACATGTTAGAAACACATATTTTCTTCTGGCATTTGAGTTTCTGGTCTTATACCTTCTCTGATTTTCCCAAATGGGAGCTACAGTCTTTGTACACATTAGAAATTACTTTTAATGCCTGATCTTTGAAATGAGGTGCCCTTCTACAGAGCTGCTTTCTTAGCACGGGGATGTAGTTGCACAGCTATATGTCGCAGTTATACTTCGTGTATACTGCAGTCACACTTCATACCCTAAACTGAGGCCCCTCCAACTGCGATAGTGGTGGTCCTTCTGCTTTGTGATTTTAAATGACAGCAACAAAAACAATCATCAAGAAGTCTTGGGTATAATTACAGAAAAATGAAGAAAAAGATGGTTATTAAAGGCATGTAAGAAACACAGTAAAAAGAAGGGTCCTGAAGCGAGGCTCCCATAAAATCATCCTCAAGACACCTGTTCTGCTCATAGGTTTTAAAAAGTCGTGGAAGCTTCCTGCTTTGGCCGAACCTGTTCTGATACTGTAGAAACTTAAAAACTATGTCTTAAAAGACTCCTGTGTCTTACAAAACTCCTATGTCTTAAAAACTCCTATTTCGGCCACCGGCAGAAGCCTGCACAGAATGCCAAGAATACCCAGCCCCTGACAAAGGAGGGCGCAAAGCACTGATGTTAACGCGGCTCAGTGCGCGCTGAACGCTTACCTGGTTCGCCCTTCAGCGGGGAGCGGAGGGTCACCAGCAGAGTGGCTAGGGGAGGAGGGTGGCACGCCGTGTATTTGCTTTGGGGACCTTGGCACTTCGCTGAAGGCGGTGCAGTCTCTCCCAGACAATGCGAACGATGAGGACCCGTCGGCCGTGGGAGGCAGGTCGCGGGCCTGCACGGGGGCGCTGGGCTCCTGCCCCCGTCTTTGGTTTTCCACGTTGAGCAGCACCTCGGCGTCAGAAAGACCATCACTCCCGTGGAGGGCGTAGTCCTTGGACTCGGCCACGCAGGGCCTGGGGTACAGCGAGCTCGCATCTCTGCCCGGCTCGGCCTGCCTGTCACCTTTCCCTCCCCTTCTGTTGGCAGCATCAGCGTCCTTTCTGGACTTGGTGTACCGAGACGGCGATTCCGAGTCGGCCTCGGAATCCAGTGCTAGCCCGTACTTCTCCGCCAGCTGCCGTCTCCTCTCTGCCTTGTACCGCGCAATTCTCTCCGCTTTGGACTCAAGAGCCTGGGTGTCCATGAGAGCGGAGCCACAGGATGAGTCAGCATGGACGCCTGACGTCTCTGTGCAGAGTTTGGAGCGGGTCTGCCTTTCCACCGAGGAGTCCGAAGTGTCTTCTTCTTCATTTGACCGGCCTGCAAGGGGACCACACAGGGAACACCGACAGAGTTCAAGTACAGGTGCGCACGGGACTGCACACTGCTCAGTACACAGCACACACCTGAGCGCCTGCGTGGCAGAGGGCCCACTTGTCACACAGGTGTATCTAGCCACAGCCCCGACCAGTGCTGCCAGACAAGTGCTGGATCTACAGTGAAACAGGTGAAGGCCCAGAGCTGTCCTGGCTGGACAAGCCACCTACCGCTGGGCCCGCACTAAAGCTCCGCCCCTGCCTCCCAGCTTGGCCTCTTATTTATTTACCTTTCTGTTTTTGAGTTTAGCATTTCATGTGTGAGGCCAGAATCCTCTAGAAAAGATAATAGATATGTGATCTGTTGTAACTTGACAAATGATGGATTGTGGTTTCACAGGATCTGATAGTAACCAGAACAATAATGGGCCGTATCAATAGGTACCAGGTTCTTGGGTGTGTGTGTGTGTGTGTGTGTGTGTGTGTGTAAAACACTAGTGGATTTTTCCAATTGTAGCACACATACAGAAAATGTCTAACATGTCTAACATGAAAACATAGGAAGGCGAAACTCTAAATCACCTGTAATCATTAATGTATAATAATAAACTGATAATTTGCCAAATATTTCTATATATTTCTTCTGTCTTTTATAAAATTGGTTTCTTCTTTTCTTACATATAAAATAATTTATGTTTTATATACCACAAATGTTTGGTATAAAACATCTTCCCGTATTTGGAAATCTTATCTTGAAGACATCATTCTTTAAGGTTCCATAATATTCCATCTAATATGCATTCCAAAACTAATTTAACCCTTCTCATATTCCTGTGCATTTACGTTGTTTCTAACTTTTAATCAGTCTGGTTTTCTGTCTACTATCACAACAGATAGATTCATAAGGGTATAATTGCATTATCAAAAAGTCTGTCATTTTAAGATACTTGCTAGACTGTCAAATTAATTTTATAAAGTTTGCATCAATTTGCACTTGAATCTGTAATATAAGTTCTCTTACAACCATTCAGTGTTAATTATAAAATTTCCTTTGATTACTAGAAAAAGAGAATGTGTGCATTTTCAATTATTTATTAGCCATTTGTATTATTTCTTTTCTCCTTTGAATAGCTGATCAAGCTTATTGCTCTATATTCTATTGATTCCTACCTTCCTTTTTACTGGTTTATGTGCACTTATACAGGACCATGAACCTTAATCTTACTCATGAATATTTCAAACTTGTTTAATGTTTTGTGAAGTCTCTATGTAAGATTTTCTTTGGAGTATGGATGTGAATTATTACATAGTCACGTCAATTGGCCTGGTGTGATTTCTACAGCTGTTTCTGTGTTCTGAAGTCCTTTTCCATTCAATTTGAATTAAATATTCACCTATGTTTCCATGTGTTTAATTACTTTCTTAAATTAATCATGTGTTGAATGGCACTTATTTTTGTGTTTCATATAAGTGAGAAGAGGGCTATGTCCCCTCTCCCACTGCACAATTTTCCCAGTACCATTTTATTAAATAAGCCTTCTGTTTCTCATGAATATGTAAAGCTTAAACTATTATGGTAATACATAGATTCGCATTTTATATATACTAGCATTTATTTCTGGCTATAAATTTTGGTGCCCTCTCTAGTCTTGATTCTTCAAGCAATTTTAGAAAATCATAATTGTCTAGTTTTCTGGCCACAGAAGCTCAGGAACTCTAGACAAGTGAAATGATCATATCATGAAGTACTATCAACAGCCCTCTCTGAGGAAGAAACTAGGAAACACTGGCTATAGCAGCAGCAGCAGCAGCAGCAGCAGCAGCATAAAGCTGCAGAGCCAGGGATAGGGTGGGAAGAACAGCCCCATGTGGGTCATCCTCTTCCAAGGCCAAACTGAATATCCGATGTTCCAAACACTGACAGTTATTAAAAAATAAAATAAAATAAAGGCTAGGTTATATTTGAAATACTGCTTAATAGGAAATAAATATGCAGCACATTTAAAATTACATGTATTACAATAATTTAAATAGAATGTTTGTTGCATAAACACATAGACTAAGAACCCCACTCAAGGTCCAAGTTTACTTTTAACACTCCCTGCCGCAAGCTGCCGGGCCCTTTGCTGGGGACCTGGGGATTCTGTTCAACTGTGTCTCATTCAGTCTTCAAGCAGCTTAGTGAGAATCTCTGGATCCCAGGCCACCAGGCGGGCACGCTCACCGGTGTGTGGGCTGGCCGGGTCTGTGGCTCGCATGTATCTGGGAGTGTCTTCCTCCAGCAGCCGGTGGGTCACTAACCCTGTGCAGCTCTGAAAGACGATGGGCTGGGTGTCCGTTTCAATTCCTTCCAGGCGCCTGGCAATTCTTTCTTTTCTGTGCAAGACATCACAAAAGGCCTAGTGAGCAGCGGAAATCAATTCTAAGGAAGAAAGGAATACTGTTTCACCAAGCTCTTCTACTTTCTAACTAGGTACAAGACATTTCTTACCTTTTCATTTCTAAAAGTTCTTTCCTCTTTGGTTCAAAGATTTTTCTTAATTCTGCAACTAAAAGAAAACAAAGAAGAATGAAGATAGTCCAGTACTCAGTGGTCACGCATTCATCTTATTCATTCGTACATTTATTGAAACATATGTTTATTGAACTAATGTTTCTGTTCTTGGCTTCTACATAGCAGTGATAAGCAAAACTGACCCAGTTCCTGTCTTCTGGTGATTATCTTCTAGTGCAGGAGGGCAGATGCCAAATGGGATGTACCTGCACACACACGTCACAGGCTGTGCTAAGAAGTAAAACCATGAGTGAGGGATGGACTAACGGGAACGAGCTCTGTTCCATTCATAAGAGTCTGAGGAGGACTGAACATTAAGATCTCTTCACCAAGCAGAACCTCACTATCTGTTTTTGACTGTTAGTAGGTTCAATACTAACAGCTTTTCATTACAGAAAAATTCAAAAGTCAGGAAAAGTAGAGACAAGGATGAGACCCTCCACGTGCCCATCAGCAAGCTACAACCACTGTGTGTCACACTCCTATTTGCTCCTGTCATACAACCTGTAAAACTCGGTAACTACCTGATTGTGTTTCCAGTGGTATCTAGTGTTAGCATACAGCCATTTACTGTGGAGGTTAAGCCAGTTCCTAAGGCTCCCCTCACCGGCTTTTGCCGGAAGGAAATGCTAACATTTGTTTTTCTGCTATAATTTGGGTGGATGATGGATAAGGTGATTACCTTAATTCTCCTGGCAATGCTGCATGAGCAGACAAATGCTTTGCTGAGGTGAGGAGGGTCCCATGTGATACCGACTACAAGGATATCACAGAGATGCCAAATAATTGTTTCTTTGGAGAAATGGACACATTTTGTGGAGAATAAAGGTCTCCTCACCTCCTCCTCAATCACATGAATTCACAAAGGCTCATATGAGTGGGTCCTACCAAGGACCCAGGAACACAACAGAGTCGCTGACAGCCCTGATGGCCCACAGAATTTTGAAAGGCTGGGACAAAGAAGAAACTCAAAAGAGGCACACTGGAATGCTGAAATATTCTTTAATTTTCTTTTCTTTCTCCCTTCCTTCTTTCCTTCCTTTCCTTCCTTTCCTTTCCTTTCCTTTCCTTTCCTTTCCTTCCTTCCTTCCTTCCTTCCCTCCCTCCCTCGCTCCCTCCCTTCCTTCCTTTTATTTTTTTAAAGTAAACTCTACACCCAGTATAGGGCTCGGACTCACCACCCTGAGATCAAGAGGCACCTGAGCCAGCCAGGTGCCCCTGAATACTGGAATTGAACTTTCAGCGGCTTTCATGTCCATTTTATTTTTTTTAAAGTGGTCATTTTTAGTAATGAGTCAAAAACCATACACACGCCCCTTTTATATTGCCATTTGTCTCCAGAGATAAGCCTTGTTTTTATTTTATTTTTTCATGATAGCCACCTTAAAATTGTAGTTAGATTGACTTGTTAAGACAGTTGGCTTCAACAAAGTCTCTCCCTCAGGTGGTTCCCAGGAAACAGAGTAGCTGGAAGCAGAGGTGTAGTTCTCTGCATAGTCAATTACGTTCTTATTTGGAAGACAAGGGTATAAGGATAATGGTGCTTCCTGTCATGCTGCCTTTTGAGAAAGGCTGACTAATAATAGTTTCCGAGTTAACAAAGTAGCTCCAGTGAGATTATGGTGATGAAACTTTAACGAGCAGTAGTGCATATTTTGAAAATATTTTCAAGGATGATATAAACCAAAGAGTATCAATTAATTATTTAAACCCCAAGAAGAGAAAGGGGCCATATTTTTCATAGGATTGCTCAGGAAGCTATTGAAACCAAATTCCAAGTGCTCTGAAAGGTAGATTTCAAACTCAATGCATCTAGCTCATAAGTGAGAAACAGGGTATAATAATAGGGTCTTGTACAGCATAATGCCACTTATCTCTCCTCCACCTAAAGTATTTCAGCTATGTATGCTATAGTCTAAATGTTTATGTCCCCCTGCCTTCCCCTTCCCCCTCCCCCCCCACCATGGCCGCCAAATTCTTATGTTGAAGTCTTAATCCTCAAAGTGATGGTGTTAGGAAGTAGGACCTTTGGGAGATGATTGGCTTTGTCCTCATGAGTAGGATTATAAAAAAGGTCCCACAGAACCTCCTCACCCCTTCCCATGTGAGACACGGTGAGAAGCTAGCAGTCTGTAAGACACGAGGGGGTCTCACCAGAACCCAGCCATGCTGGATCTCTGATCTAGGGATTCCAGCCTTTAGAACTGTGAGCAATACATTTCTGCTCTCTCAGAGGCCACCCCAGGCTATGGTTTTTTGTTATACCAGACTTAGTTTATACCAGACTAAGACAGGGATAAAAATAATAACTGAACACACAGAATGTCCTATACCTTCTACTGGAAAGAGTTGTGATCTTTTTAATTCCAATTTGAGACTGTGAAAATCACTTTTATTTTGTTAAATTTTTAGTTTTTAAAAATTTTCTATAGAAATGAGATGACTAAAGATATTTTTTTTAAAAAGATCCCCCTCTCCTCAAAAAAAGATCCCAGTAGTACAGAGAGAAAGCTAAGTAACAAATTGCTTCCTGACATTTTTTATTCCCATATTCTAGAAGGAATGATCCACCAACTGGATTATGCCAATGACCCAACCACAACAAAACTATACTCTTCCCACTGTCATTCCCTACCCATTTCAATATTCTATAAAGACTATGAGAAGGGAACAGGCTGATGGTCACAATAGTCATTCATCCCAGAAACTGAACCCTAAGAAGTCTGGGGCAGTGGGAGAAAGGAGGGTGGTAAACCAAGTTATCTTACTGTCCATGGTGATCTCTGTCCTTTTCTGGACAAAACTGGCTGGACCACCCACTAATGAACACAATCACTTGTAGGTCTTAGGATAGCATATAGCAGACATTCAGATGAACCTCATCAGGGTGACAGATTCACGGGCTGGCTCTGGAACAGATCACAGATCACCAGGGGGGTGCTAATGGCCTTTTGAGTGAAAAATTTCTTCACTGTGAGCCTTGTACTGTAGGATGTGAAGTGTCCATGGCTCCCCTAACAAATGCCTAATCATCACCAGTTGCTGTGACACAAAAATGCTCCCATTTGTTACTAAAGCCGCCCTGGGGAATTTTCTGTCCTTGGACGGTAGCCAGTTCCCCGGATGCCCAGGTTCTAGGTAGCCCAATGACAGATACCACTAGCTAGCTGCACTCTCCTACCACATCTAGATTCTCAACCACCTCAAAACCCTTTCAAGCTTATAATCTACAGTCCTCTCTGATTATTTACTGAGGAATGAAATGAAATCATAAAGCAAACCATATTTAAATGTACCAGCAAACTAGTGGCATTGGCTGGCTTGGTTGGTAAAGCATCCGGCTCCTGATGTCAGGACGGTGAGTTCGGGGCTCATGTTGGGTGCAGAGATTACTTTAGAAATAAATAAACAAATGTATCAGTAAGCTTATTCATTCTTAGTGGAAATCCATAGTGAATCTTTTAGAAAAGAAAATTCGTTAAGCAATCTAATTACTGCTCAGTCTATTCTTTCTAACAAATATATTTTTCAGTTACCAAGATCTGCTTCATTTCTACAGATGTGAAATTACAGGGGAAAGAAATGATATGGAAGACAAAAGAAGTAATAGTGAAGTTTCCTTTCCCAAGACTATAATTTAAAAGTAAAATTAGTAAAACAAACATGCAATATAATTACTCCAGCATATCTATCCCATGGGAAAACATTCCAGTTATATAAAAGAGAGCGAGGTTTTATTTGAATTGCTGATGTGTGCGTACTTTTTCTGACCCTTTCCAGGAAAACAAAAACAAAAACAAAAAAACAAACCTCTTTTGGGTTCTCGCAGTCATCTTTAGGCCCTTCACTTTAATTTTTGGTCAGGTTTATCATAAAACAATGAGAAAAAGCTAATACTAAGAAATTATGGAAGGTGACCCAGCTATGAGAATCTGTGTTGCTACTGTGTTGTTTCATTCATAAAGACTACCACATAAAGCACAATCACACCCATCCTCTGGTTGATAGTATGGAATACAGTCTATTATTGTTTATAATCTACCAAAAGCTTTCTTTCCTTTACAATTTTTATATAATTTTAGACTTACAGAAAAATCAAGACATATTTCATAACATGTTAACACCTCACTATATTGGGTTGTTTATCCCTTTCCATACGCATATTTACATGTGTGATGTGTATATACGCATGCATCCAAGTATGCATATTTACATGTGTGACACATATATACGTCTCCATCCAAGTATGCATATTCATGTTTGTGATGCGTATACACACAGCATCCAACTACGCATATTTATGTGTGTGATGAGTATATATGCCTTCATCCAAGTATGCATATTTGTGTGTGTGATGCATATATACGCCTGCATCCAAGTATGCATATTTACGTCTGTGATGTGTATATACACCTGCATCCAAGTATGCATATTTATGTGTGTGATATGTATATATGTCTGCATGCAACTATACATATTTACATGTCAACTTTTCTGAACCATTTAAGAATAAGTTGCAGCATGAGTCCCTTTATCTGATGTGAAAGGGCACATGCAGCCCAATGTTTATAGCAATACTATCAACAATTGCTAAATTATGGAAAGAGCCCAAATGTCCATCAACTGACAAATGGATAAAGATGTGGCATACACACACACACACACACACACACACACACACACACACGAATATAACTTGGCAATCAAAAAGAATGAATTCTTGTTACTTGCAATAACATGGATGGAACTGGAGTGTATTATGCTAAGTGAAATAAGTCAGAGAAAGAGAAATATCCTATCATTTCACTCATATGTGAAATTTAAGAAACACAAGAGATGAACATAGGGGAAGGCAAGGAAAAATAAGATAAAAAAAGAGAGGGAGGCAAACCATAAAAGACTTAATGCCAGAGAACAAACTGAGGGTTGCTGGAAGGGAGGTGAGGGAGAAGGGCTAAATAGGTCATGG